GATAAAGCGTGGTCGTCGGCGAAAACTAATGAATCCCCGCCTTCGCAATCGTAACCGTCTGCTGTTCCATAACCTCGTGGATAGCCACCCGATCCACGTCGCTCATCTTGTCAAACTCATCGATGCAGACCACGCCCCTGTCCGCCATAACCATCGCACCCGCCTCCAACCTCCTCTCCCCCGTCTCCTTGTCGCTCGTCACCGCAGCCGTCAAGCCCACACCAGACGACCCCCTGCCGGTGGTGGCAATCGCCAACGGCGCCGTATTCAACACAAACCTCAACAGCTGCGACTTGGCCGTCGAAGGGTCACCCACCATCAAAATGTTGATATCACCCCTCAGGTGCGTCCCATTCTCCAGATTCTTCTCCATCCCCCCCAGCAGCATCAGCAAAATCGCCTTCTTGATGTAATCATGCCCGAAAATGCTCGGCGCCAACGACTGGCTCAACAGCTCAAACACCTTTGACTTTTTCGCAATCTTGTTGATGTTCCTGATGTCGGTATCCGTAATCGCCGCCGTGGCGATCCCACCCCCCGACTTGGTCGACAGCAACACGACATTATTTGCCAGCAGCACCGTCTTGAACAGCGCGCTGTTGTGGTTGGTGTTTCTGTTCCCCAGCGTCCTGAAGATGCCCACCAGCTGGACTCTGTCTCCCGGCTTGGCCTTGTCCACCAGGTCATCATCCAAAATCACATCCACCCCCCTTGGCAGCTGCCCCGCAGGCGCCCGCTCGGGCATCTCCTGGATCGAAATCGTCTGGTGATCCCTGTACGTGCAGAGCCCATACTCTGTGATCAGCGGGTTCCCCTCGTTGTCCTCGTGGGGATACACCGACGTGGTCGTCGCGCCGTTGGTCATCGTCTGGTCGCGGTATTCCTTCCACTGGAAAATATTCTTCGTCTCGTTGTAGTGCACGCTCTTGACGATCTTGGGTCTGATCAGCGAGCAGCGGGTGACGATGCCCTCGATGGAGACCATGCTGTTCAAGTGCTGCGACCCCAGACTCCGCGGGTTGCAAGTGTTCAAACCAAAACTGCCGGCAAAGGCGCAGTAGTACAGCACGTCGTCGTCCGTCTGGTCCTTGCGGGCTTGTGGGAGGGCCTTGACGATGGACTTGAGGGCGTGGTTGAAGGCGAGGGTGAAGTCGAAGGGGTCGTAGAGGAGGCCCTCGGCCATCTCGGGGTTGTGGTCGCGGACTCGATCGATGTTAACGACGAGCCGGCGCTGGTTTTTTTGCAGCATCGTGATGATGTCTGCTCTGTAGCCCTTGACGTGTTGGTCATCTTTTTTGGGTTACATGTCAGCATCATATCATGGGTATCAGATCGTGAAAAAAAAAACGAGGGACATAGAAAATTCATACGGGGATCGAGAAACTCCATGGCCTGGCGCACCCGGTCTTGGGCCGCATTGTCGCGGAGCATTTCGTAGTCCATCTTGTCGTATGTGTTCACCGGGTATCAAAATGGGAATTGGATTTGGTGGTGGTGGTGGTGGTGGTGGTGGTGAAGAAGACACAATGTGTCAAGGTGGGTGGGTGTTGTTTGTGTTGTGGACAGTGGCAGAAAGCGGCGTTCTTTCTCTGGCAATGCCTGACCGGCGAGAGTGGGGAGAATTCATTCGCAAAGCAGACTCCAGCGCGCGTCCCGTCGCGGTTTCGCGTTTGCTGCGCGTCGCCCCTGACAGGGGTTTTAATTGATTCAGGTCCAATGGCAACTGCGGGGCTCCCTTACGGTTGCCCAGCCAGTGCACGGCCAGTGTTGACCTTGACCTTCTCACCCAGGTCAACTCTCGGTGTGTAGGAATACCTCCTTTGTGCCGTTCTCATAACTCAAAGGAGATGGAGGACTTGTCATTATGCTCTGTCTTCCTCCTATTCATCAAAAGTACATGTTTGACAGTTTCAGAGCAAAAGAAGCTTACAGCATGGCCGAAGGCGAAATCTCAAGGGTGAACGAACCCCTTTCGATCAAGCTCCAAAAAAATATAGCAAAGCCTTATAGCCCTCTTTATCCATAGGCTAGATACCTGGTTAGACTGATTAAAGCCATGCTTCAAATATGAAAGAGCTCATTCACTGCAATGAGCAATGAGCAAAAAACAATGAGCAATAAGCAAAAACATACAACACCGAGGATTCCCCAGTGGTCACCCACCTGAGTACTAGTTCAGCGCACAGCTATTTGACGAGGGCAGAGCGGACGGGATGCCGTATTTTTAGCTGGCTATGGTCGTATGTGACAGTCTGCGCCAGACTTGTGGCTTTTGAAGCAGCTGAAAGATTTCGTTAACTGGTATCAACACCTACACACTTCGATTCACACAGGAAGCCAGAATATCACCACGGATGGGCAGATAAACCTCTCTATCCACGGAGAGCATGATACCAACAGTTTCTTGCCCCTGCCCAAGAAAACTTATCATTAGTCATATTGCAACCCTCCAACAACCCAGGGCATCAAACTATCAAGCCACAGCACCAAAACAACCCCAAGGTAGAGTAACTACTGGTTGAAAGACCAAGCGACCCTCCAACAAATCGGAGGAGCCCGCCCGGTAGGTAGGTAGGCCAGCACATATACACACAGCGTAACCTCCCCGAGCTCGACGATGTGCCTATCAAGCAGCGCGAACTTGGGCACGTCGGCAGACTGTGTTTCCTGCACATCATCATGAAGAAGAGAAAAACCAAGTCCCCATGACCATGAACACACTGTCTGTCCCGCTGTCCCATTCTTGCCCACTGAAGGCAGCAGTCCGCCTGGGTTCTTCCATGATTCACGAACCAATACGAGAATCAACATCCTGCTTCCTTCCTTCCGTGCGAGCCTCGCGGCTTCTGGCGGGCCGCTATTGTTGTTGTCTCGCCTTCTTCCCTCCAATGTGTGCTTGAGGGGCTTTCCCGCATTGGGTCTCGGTATCATGCGGTCCAATGTTGCGCAACGCCCTCTGCTATGACACCAAGGCTTGGTGTCTTTTGTCTATCGAGAGTCTGAGTAGTGTCATTGGTTCGAGATTGGGGTAGATAAAGCCAAACAGAGGCCCCCGTAGGTATGTAGCAGGGCTCGCCACCTCCTTTTCCTACGATACCACCATCCAAGCACCTTCTAGACGGGTGCTTTGTTTTTCAACTGGCTCAACCGAGACCCGAGTGCTTTGATATGCAGACAGCACCATAACAAGCCATGGATATCCTTGTCAATACGAGCGTCGAGAGATATATCTAATTGGTTACCGAACTGTCGGGAAGGAGGCTGGGCTCCCCAGGTCAAGTTCAGGAAGTTGACGTGGCCGCCCTTATTCTCGTGACGGGAGCGGGTGAATCCTGGCCAACGGTTATCCTGGTCTCCCACATCCCGCTCCTCAACTGAACAGTCCAGGGAGTACTGCCAGTCGAGGCGGCTGTTTATCGCTCAATGGCTAGAAGCATAGCGGCATCAGTACAGACCAGCATTGCTCGTCCCGTGAACCTCAAGGCTCACCGAAAGCATGCCCTTGTCTCGGAACCAGATGCAGCCAGCCCGCAAATTAAGACCTTCTCACGGCAAGCCGCGAATGCTGCCAATGTTGACGTTGATGGAAGAATCTGGGCTTCATCCCACCAAGATGATCAGGGGCAAAGGTGTGGAAAAAGTACGGCATTGAAGTCTTCAGGAGTTTGGCGGCTGAAACAGGACTTTCTAGAACCGCGTCTCAAGATCATGCGTGCTGCAATGCTGCTTCAACTTTGATCAGAACTCGTGAGTTGGAAAGACAAATTATATGGCTACCGACCTCTAGCGGAGGGGGTACCGGTATCACATTCCGCAGTAGTATGACCATGCAAAAGCCACGATCCGGCACTCGCCCTGTGCGAAATGTAGACGCCAGAAAACGGACTGCATGCGGGGAACTTGACCAGTAATCGTCAAGGAGAGACGGTGTTAGTTGGCCCTGTCATATGAAAAGGGAATGCCGGAGGAGCACCTCAGACGCAGATCCCACTCAGCAGGTAAACAGTCACACCGAAGGCGCCGTACTCGTATGATTGATGCCAACCTGGCTGACAGATACAATACCGGTTGTATGATTCAAAGGCTGAAGGCCAGTGGTCACACTGATGACGGGGCCATGCTCCCGAGATAGGAGACGGTCCATCGCGAAGACCAACGGTCTCGATAGCACAAAACAAGCGGTGTGTGTCAGCGGCATAAACCTTCAAAGGTTGGACGTCGCATTGAATGGTATGGTGAAAGCACCTCTATAGGTCTCGACGTATGTGTCATATCATCACCATCAGGCCTCGGACTGTGGTATCGGGATGGAGGTCCGGCGAGGCTGAGTGGTCGCTCTTTATCTTCGGCAAGAGACGTGCCGAAGGCCCGTGCGGCTCCCCTCGGCCTGCCGAGTAAGCTGGGTGTGCCATCCCGAAGGGACCGAACGAGGACCAAGTCGCCCGTCGATAGCCATTGTCAGCGGGCCAAAGGATGTCCAGGAAGGGAAATGTCAACGAATCTATGTGGTAAGCTGAGCTCTGGTACGACATGGAGAGCTGGCGTCAAGCAGTCTGTTGGTGTGAAGCGGGAGGATTTCCTGATGATCCTGCGTTGTTTGGTAGAGACAGGACCAGGGTGGCTGCGGGTGATAATCGACAACTTGGGCCGAAATCGGCATGCCGAATTAGACCCCTTGGCTTTTTACCCCTCACACCCAAGCTTCCGCCGTGTGGACGTGTGGCTGCCGAAGGGGGCTTTGAAGTCCATGGTCGCACAGCAGCAACAACCACCTCGAGGGCGGTTTGAAGGCGGCAGAGTGCAGGTCGTTTGTTGCACGTGTGACATGTGGTACCCCTTGTAACCGTTCCTAAGGGTGTGCCTGACATATGACCTCTGGTGCTCTCTTGAAGCTGTCTCCATTGCGTGTTTTGTTCGTGTCGTCCAAAATGGAAGCTGAGAAGGTTTGTTATCGATGCTCCAGGGCCCCTCCTAGACAAGTAGGAGCTAGACTAGTGGATTGTGCAGTGCTGGTCGTGGAGGTCGGCGAATCATGCCAGCACCCGGAGGTCCACTTGTCCACGACCCAGACAAAGAGTCTCCATCCCATATACTTCCAGCATGTTGACGGGTATGTCGGTGGGCTGCCCCGCATGTATGTGCTGGAAAATGGTCCGCGGTGGTAGGATTGGCCAGGAATTCCGCGCTCTTGTACCTTGGTCAGGACAAGGTTGTAGTGTGCTCGCCCGTGGACTGTTGAGATGGGGAGCGATGTTCCGCATACAAATAAGCCAGTATGTATGCTCTCCCCGGGCAAGCGGTCTCCGTCAAACCCAAGTGAACTCAACACAAGCCCATACTGTTCGTCACCATGGTGTTGATCAAGCTTGATCCCCAGGCCGAAATGAAAGGCACCGACGGGGCCCAGGCAGTCGGCAGCTCGGCTGTGTTGCACAGACACCTTTCCGAAGACTTCCTCGTCCTTTCCAAAAGCGAAGGCAACTACCTAATCCTCGAAGATGGTCGGCGTGTGTTCGATGCCTCCGGAGGCGCCGCAGTCAGCTGTATAGGCTATCGTAACAAGAGAGTGGCCGACGCTGCTTATCGGCAGATCCTTGATGCCCCGTACTGCAGTACCGTCTTCTACACCACCAAAGTACAGGAAGAGCTCTGTCGCTTCTTGGTCGATTCGACAGGAGGACAGATGGCGCGGGCCTACATCGTCAACTCAGGGAAGTTCTTTCGTCACGTTGTATCCTCTTGCTCCCAAGCTGACCAGAAGCAGGCTCCGAAGCAATGGAGGCGGCTATCAAGCTCGCGAGGCAATACTTTATCGAGGTCAAACCATCACAGCCGCAGAGGACTCGCTTTATCTCACGGAGACAGTCCTACCACGGCATCACCCTTGGGGCGTTGGCCATGGGTGGTCACATGTACAGACGCGAAAAGTTTGAACCACTCTTGATGAAAAACGTTTCCCAGGTCTCTCCATGCAACGAATCCCGGTTCAAAGCTCCCACAAAGACCAACGAGGAATATGTCGCGGAGCTGGCGCAAGAGCTCGATGAGGAGTTCCGGAAGGTTGGGCCCGAGACTGTCTGCGCTTTTGTTGCCGAGCCTATCGTCGGTGCAGTATGTCTTGACTGAGCCTAGGATCATCCAGCAGTGTGCTAATATTTGTTCCGTTAGGCTCAAGGCTGTGTGCCGTCGGTCCCGGGATACTTCAAGGCTATGAAAGCCGTGTGTGACAAATATGGGGCACTTCTGATTTTCGACGAAGTGATGTGTGGCATGGGCCGCAGTGGTACCTTGCACGCATGGCAACAGGAGGGTGTCGTTCCAGATATCCAAACCATCGGAAAGGCGCTTGGTGGTGGCTATCAACCAATAGCTGGGCTGTTGGCCAACCACAAGGTCATTGATGGAATCGCGAAAGGAAGCTCGTATGTGGTGATGGCCGATTGTTCGAGTAATCTGCTAACTGTTAGCCTAGTGTATTCGTTCACGGTCACACCTACCAAGGCCATCCCGCTTGCTGTGCGGCTGCCCTCGAAGTCCAGCGCATCATCCAAGAAGAAAGCCTCGTGGCAAATGTCGCTAACATGGGCCGCTTGCTATCTCAAGGGCTGAAAGGGCGTATTGGCAACCACCCGAATGTCGCTGATATTCGAGGTCGTGGTCTGTTCTGGGGAATCGAGTTTGTTTCGGACAAGAAAAGCTCGACACCATTCCCGGAAGAAGTTCATGTAGCCATGGTCATCAGCAAGCTTGGATTGGACCCCAAATATGGCATCAATGTATATCCTGGAGCAGGCTCGGCGGACGGGCGTCTGGGGGACCATATCATAATCTCGCCGGCCTTCAATATTCGGAAAGAGGATGTTGAGTGGATTGTGGAGACAGTTGGCAGGCTGGTAGACGACTACTTTGCAACGCTTCAAGTTTGAAGTCGTTTGACGGGGGCGGGGATCTGATTTTCTGCTTGAGCGGAAGACTTGTATTGCAGAAGAATGGAGCAATGTGCTGGACACGACTCCTTTGTTATGAGAAAATTCCCATCATTTCTTTTTTTTTGTGCGCCCAAAGCATGAACAAGTGAGCTGTGCCTGCAGGTGGCCCAATTCGGTGCTTCCACTCCTTCCAGTTTCAGATACTGCTCTACTATTCTGCGGAAAGGACCATGGAGATGATATAGGATACGTGGTTGCAATACCTCAATTTAATCCTTGAGAATCTCAATGCTCGATACTCTGCAAGATATCTTCAACACCTCTGTTCCGTTGCTGGTTTGGGAAGTGTTTCATGGTGTAAGTCGTGTAAGTGAGGTTAAAGAACTATGAGATCTGATTGGCCACCACATGCCCCACAAATAGCGGACAATCACCAGGGACCCTGGCAGCTGTTCAGCGGATGTCCGCGCCTGGGCCAAGCCTGGGGTTCCTGAACCAACTTGGTCCAAGATCCATCAATTCGCAATCGCAAACACCTTCCAACTCGCACCTCGACAACCCGAGCGCACATTGCTTCCCCCGACTGACGACCGAATCGCCACAGGATGGCTGTCGGGCTTGCCAATGGCCGACCGGCCGCCGACGAAGAAGCCCGCGCCGAGGTCGACGTTCTCAACTCGCGCCTCGAAAAGACCACCCAGTTGACCAAGAAGATCCAAGCTTGCTTGGGAAGACTAGAAGCTACAGGGAAGAGCGTTCGTGATGTCGCCGGACCTCTCAACGGCGAGACAAGAAGACTACAGATACTCGGCAATAGTGTGTAGCCACCAGCTGCCAGCTCATCCGCAACCGGAGCTGACGTGCCACTCTTTCTCAGACATCGATTCCGTCATTGCAGCTATTGAACGTCTACGACAGCCAGCAGACAGCAAGAATGACGAAGAACAGATTATCCGAATGGGCCCCGACAAGGCCGGCCTCTCCAACTACCTTGGTTCAATCAAGCGTCTTAACAAGGCCCTCGACGACATGAAGGCCTCCAACCTACGATCAACCCAACAGACCGTCGCCGAACTCCAGCGCCTGGTTAAGCTCGGCAACTCCCAACTCGAGAATGCTTTCGACAAACTATTACGAAGCGAAACACCAAGAATGATCGAACCACTACACTTCATCACGAAGAACAAGGCGTTCCCAGTGTTGTCACAAGACAAGTTCAACAAACTCGGCCTGATGAACTCATTTGTAAATCAGCAAACTGCAGGGGCTAATCCACCACAAGAATCACCAGTAGCAAAGATCTACGCCGAAATAAGATCGCAATACCTCTCTTCGTCACTAGTAAACATGGCCGCGGCCAGCAGCAACACGGCAAAGAAGAAGAACCCAGACGCAATCTACCGGGCGGGCACCAACGGAATAGGCACCTACGCGCAGGCGATGGAGGGACTGTTCCTCTCCGAGTACGAAAACATCTGCAACATTTTCACGAGAGAAGACTGGGGTTCCGTCTTTCAAGCAACCTGCCAGCCGGCCCTGGTAGAGCTGGGAAGGACACTGCGAGAACTGAACGGTCACATCAAACAGCACATGAACACAGACTGCTACCTCGCCTACGAGATCGTCGAGATTATCTCAGCACTCTCCAACAACCTCGAGGCCAAGACAGGCGAGCTCAAGAGCTCACTGGCCGCCTCTCTCAAACCAGTCCGGGAAACCGCCAAGTCTTCCCTTGCCGAGCTGTTGGAGGACACAAAGCGGCGGGTCAACTCTTTACAGACACTGCCCCAGGACGGCGCGCCAATACCAATCATTTCGGAAACCATGCAGAGACTACAGACAATGGTGGAATTTCTCCGCCCAATATCGAGCATTATGGTTTCGTTGGGAGATGGGAACTGGAAGTCTGTCAGCGCCTCGAGAAGCGGGGCAGTAGGGGACGCCATCCCTAGTCTTGCGTCTTTCGACGTCGGGGCCGATGGCAAGGAAATCTTTGCGCACTACTGCACTGACACCATCGAAGCGTTGATGATGTCCCTCGACGGCCGGGCACGGTTGATCCTCCAAAAGAAACCTGTCATGGGCGTCTTTTTAGCCAACAGCGTCGTCATCATCGAGAGGATGATTCTCCAATCTGACCTTGGACCTCTCCTCCAAGGCCGGTTGGGTGTGCTCGAAGCCTGGAGAAAGAAGGCCACCTCGCTCTACATGGAAGCTTGCAAGGATGTGTCGGTGCATTTGTTCGACATGATCAAGACTGGGCAAGGTGGCAGGTCGGGTGGTGGGAGACCGACGAGCGGGCAAGGGGCGGTGGATAGTGCCAGCATCATGAAGGGGTTGGGGAGCAAGGACAAGGCGGAGATCAAGGAGAAGTTTCAGTTGTTTAATGCTGGGTTTGAGGACATGGTGTAGTAGCACAAGAGTTATACCATGTACAAGGAGGTGACGTCCTCTCTGATTTTTTAACCCTTCTGTCTCTATTTTTTTTTTATTTTTTTATTTTG